GGATGGATGGATGGATGGATGGATGGATGGATGGATGGATGGATGGATGGATGGATGGATGGATGGATGGATGGATGGATGGATGGAAGTTTGGACTATTAAAATGGGAGGTCCAGAAGAGCAGAAAAAAGAGCAATGTCCTCAGCTGGGTACCCAATGTGGTCATCCCTTTCTGACTAGGATAGTGAAAGTTATAATCTGATCCATCTGCAAGATATCATGTTGAGGAAAGCTAGAAGTGAGCAACTTGTTCTTTCTTTTACTTGTAGCAATTTATCTACATGAACACTTACTTTCATTTATACAAGATCTGTAGAGTGTTTTTGCTTTCTTAACAGCTTCTATATCACCACTGTTTTCCTTTTCGAGGACATCTGAAAACAAAGGAGATATACACAGTGAAATGTTTCAGGGAGTAATGGATACTTGTTATGTTTTACAGGTTTGACCTTACTTGGTTTTGTTTTATAGGTCTGGCTAAACTAATTTAGTTTACAGACATAAAGGATACCACGGACAAGGATGCTCATATTATCTGTTGCAATCTCAACATATATGACTATGACAGCACACTTTAAAAGCAGTTAGGGGGCAAAATTGTGATCTACAGGAGAGATACCATCCTCTGCTATAGATCCAGCCTCACCCTGCAAGAGTAGCATTGCTATACCCTCAGGAAAGTTTCTAAAGCTTATGTAATAATTTCATTTATCTTTTCTTGTGCATGTCTCTGGATGTCACCACAGGAAATCTGAAGGATATCCCTGCAGCATTTTATACCCTTCAGTGTTTGGCAGCAACTTCTTCTGATGTTTACGAACTAAACATATCTTGGTATGCCTAGGAGATGCCTATCTTTAGAAATGGATTACTTGGCTGTATCTAAATACAGGACACAGGATATAAGGTTGGCCAGCATTGGCTGTCAGTGTTTTCAACAGCATTCCCAGTTGAACTGGGCTGAAGGGAAACCAGCTTTTTCTCCCCCTAGGGCAGCTGCCTCCCTTTGCAGGGTTATGAGGGCCCAGTTTCAGCTGTTGAAAAAGTCAGAATCCAGTGCCAAGTTCATTCCTCAGAGTGGGGTCAGATCCACCCAAGTCAGAAGACTGTCTCTTTTTGATTTTTCACCTGACACAACAGAAGAACTCACAACTGCATTCATATAACCAAGCAAACATTCTGAGTTGCTTTGGGGCAGAAGCAGAGGAAAATACTGTACCAATATATACGGTACAGAACATAATAATTTTTGTTCTTCTGATGCAAAATAGAAAGAATGGAAAAAACAAGGGAAGATTGAAATGATCCAGACATTTAGTTCACATATCTATATTCCAACTGACCTTTCAAGACAACTTCTAATTCATCTCTTAAAATGTCAAAGTTACTATAACGGGAACTTGTCTCAGGAATGATGTTCTTCTTCAACCATCCTCCACAGGCATACTGATAGAAGTTAGTGCAAGGTTCTGCTGTGGTATCCATGTTCTCAATGATACGGGCAGCTGTCATGACAGAGAAAAAAAAGTAAACAACTGACTGTAGCAGAAAAGATGGGGCAACCCAGAAATTCAGTTTTGAATCGGAAAGCAGCTGATGATGAGAAGCAATTCACACAGGACGTCGCTTTCTCACAGGAAGTGTTCTATAACTAGGAACCTCTTCAGAAGCCCCTAGATGCCTTCAGTAGTTGACTTTGGTGAGCACTGACTAGAGCCTGGAAAATATATGATTTTCAGCCGTAACTCCCAGAATTCTTCACATACATTTATTTAATTAATTCATTTTATTTAAAATATTTTTTTAAAAATCAGACAAATGCTGCACTAAAACGGTGAACAAAATCAACACCATAAATACATTCAAAGCATCAAGATACACCTTTTTGCATAGGCATCCTTCAGTCTCGAGAGACTATGGTAACATGCTCTGAATCGAGGAGTGTCCTCTCCAGAGCATGAAGCCTGGGTAAAGTAATATGGAGGATAGGCTGTTACCCAAGCAGCAGATCCCCCCTCTCCACGTTGCTGAAATGGTCCAATGGAAAGGCAAGAGCCAATACAACTGGTTCCAGCCATGTCGCAGGAGTTGGCAGAATGACACAAACTGCCTTGGGGACTCCAGCTCTGGATTTTGCCTCAGTGCTAACTCTCGAAGCCTTTTCCATGAGTGGATATAGCCACAAGGCAGTGGAGGTCTGAAATCGGAGTTTTCCTTCTCCTAGATGGGCTGCCTTCCATGGCTGACGAGTCCCATATACCTGGCTACCATTTAAAAACCACTCTCAGAAAGTCACTAAGGGGAAGCCTGCCTGAAGAGAAAGGTCCTCATCTGCTTGTGGAAGGACAATAAAGATGGGGCCAGACTGGCCTCCAGTAGGAGGGAGTTCCAGGTCTAGGATTATCAACAGAGAAAGCCCTCTCCTGTGTCCCCACCAAACACACCTGTGAAGACAATGGGAACAAGAGAAAGGCCTCCCCTGATGATCATAACACCTGGGCATGCGGTGTATAGGGAGATGTGATCCTTGAGATAACTTGGACCCAAGTCGTTTAGAGACTTATAGTTTGTACTATGCCCAGAAATGGATTGGCAACCAATGGACCTGCTGCATAGCAACTGATGATACTACACTAGGGACCACTTCTGAAGAAGGAGGTTAAAGTCCAGTTTATGTGAATTATAACTTGTCTTTACAGCACCATAGCTCTTTATTGTGTTTAATGCAACAGAGTACAGACTCAAATGGCTGCGCCTTTGAAAATTAATATTTTGAAAGAATATATTTTCCAAACTCAAGTATTAGGGCACCTTTTCTTTGCCGCTTCCTCTTTCACTTTATTAGCGGAGAGCAGGCAAGTTTTACATCTTTTCAATAGGATCTCTTATTTGTTCAGAATTTTTTTAAACCAATAGGAGATCTTGTGTGCTGAAATCCAGCCCAGTGCTAGAAGATTCCCTGTAGCACAGAAGGGCTTCCTCTGCTTTGTGTACTCTTCTGCAGTGCCCCCCAAAAACTGCTGAAGAAAGAGGGTTTCCCAACTCTCCAAGGAAGATATTGAGGTTGCAGCGGAAGGGGAAATAGTTGCCCTCTCAGTTCCATGAATGGAATCCATTCCTACCATATGGAAGACACAGTTGGATCCTTGCTGAGTGTTTTATCCAACTGCAATGAACTTGCACATCTTAAAAAGTCACCATCATTTTGTCCTCCACAGGATTCTACATTTTTCATCATCCATTTCACAATTATACATAGTAGAAGAATTACTTATCTCTGCTGATTTGTCAGCTATCCTGGAAGTAGCTTATAATTCATTTGTCAGTTAATACTAGGAAACTACTAGTATGCAGCCTGGAAAAGTGCCTCTAATACGTATATGGCTGGATTGCAGCACCGTGTTTCTTAATGGCAGGCAATTTATTTAATCCCATTCCCCACATTCAAATGGTCAAGATGAGGATCTTCCTTTTGAATGGCATCACTCTTAGGGACTATATTCCTTCAGTATGATAATGAATAAAAATGGACTTATATTCATTTTTCTCTTTGCAGAAATTATATGGCAATTTTCTCCTTGAAGATGAGATGGTATTTCAGAAATACATAGAAAGAGAACATAAATGTGGCTTGGCGTATATCGATTGTCCATCTGTGGAGCTGGAAAGCAACAGAATTCAGATATATCTGATGGGCATTCCCCTCGGACATTTCATCTCGCCTGAGTTTGTGTTGGAAGAACAATGTTGACACAGAGAGACAACATCTTCTCAGTGTCTAAGCTTAGAGCTGGAATTGGCTTAAAAGTTCGGTTCAGATCCCAAATTTGGGAAGAGGGCACCTTGAATGCTGGACTTCCACTCACAGAGGACACACAGAATGGCTAGATCAGTAATGGACAATGTGCATCCCTCCTGATGTTTTTGGACTACAAGACCCATTCAGCTCAAGCCAACATAAGCAATAGTGAGGAACACTAAGAGCCACAGTCCAACAATATCTGGAAAGCCACACTTTTGATTTCAGACTATATATTAGGTTTAAAAGACCAGACCAGGACCTTCCATCTCTCTCACTGCTTTGTGTCCCATGAGGAACAGCTGGAAAGTATTACAGCTATGTTCAGTTCTCCCAGATATGAACAAAATCAGAGCGTAGACTGTGATATTCCTGAGCCACTGACTCCAATAGTTTCTAAGAAATGGATGAAGGGGAATCTTGCCAAACTGCTGTTTCTGAGCCTCAGGTCCCAATGGGAAAGGGAATGGTGTGCATTACATGTATCACAGTAAGATTACCCAAGACCACCTTCCTTTGACAAGCATTGTAAGCCTTGGCTGTAACTCACAGGAATTACAATCTGGACCGTTGCCACCATGAAAGGAGACTTCCAAACCCAGCTAGCTGCAAGGGACATTTGGCAGAAGTATGGAGACTTGCTACACAATGGTAGTGAGTCATATGCATATGTGATTATTTATTCCTAGCATTTTCCATGCACAGTAACAGATATATAGCCCCTCCCCTTCTCTTTGATGAATTCTTCAGATGTCTGGAGATTGTCATTCTACGTCTGATCAAAGACATGGTACAACAAAGCTTTTTCTTTCTTTCTTTCTTTCTTTCTTTCTTTCTTTCTTTCTTTCTTTCTTTCTTTCTTTCTTTCTTTCTTTCTTTCTTCCTTTCTTCCTTTCTTCCTTTCTTCCTTTCTTCCTTTCTTCCTTTCTTCCTCTCTTCCTTTCTTCCTTCCTTCCTTCCTTCCTTCCTTCCTTCCTTCCTTCCTTCCTTCCTCCCCCCCTCTCTCTGTTGGAGATACCACCAAGTTGAGCATTCATAATATAAGTGGGAGAGGCTGTACAGTATGAAGAGCTGGATACACAGGAAGAGCTGAGCCTTCCGCATTGCTCTTTATATGCCAAACTGCATTCTAAATTTTTTCATGTTATTTTAGCCCACTTGTTTTTTGAGTTCTGTTTCAGTTAAGGTACAGTTAAGTACCTACTGTTTGAGAGAGTTTGGTAAAATTATGGGGTCCACAGAGTTCCTGGTCTGTGTACACCAGGAATGGATAATGTGTGCCTCTCCAGATGTTGGTCTGCACCACTAGCTGCACTGAAATTAGGCTGTTGGGATTCAGAAGCCTAATAACATCTGTAGAGTCANCCCCCCCCCCCAGAATTGCTGTATGCATTTGTGGCCTTGGAAATCTAAGCAAGAACCCTTTTAGCACTGAAAGATAATTGCTGTGGTGATGTTTTTAATTTGATGAATGGATAGGTACATCTGGCTCATATGCTGTTTATTTGAAAAAGTGTTTTAGGCTTTTCTCTCCCTTCCAAAAACTGAATTTTGGGAAGCTTTTATATTTCAGAAATGTATTTTTTTACTCCTTGGAATATATCAAGAGCAACCACTGGTTTTATGAAAATAAAAAATAATGTGCCTCTTAAATGGAAAACTATAAAACAAGACCTGCATTTGTTCATAAAGAGAGATACTGTGCCTGTCAATAATGGATAGCTGAAAAGAAGCATGTTCCACGAGTCATAAATTGGAGTTGGAAACAAATGGAATACATTTAGTACAGTTGTGACCCAATTCCAACGAAAAGGCTTCTTCCAACATCGAAGTGGAAACAACAAACTACCATATGTACTGATATAAGCATTAACATTTTACCCAGTGAGTTTAAGGGTCACATTATTTTTTTTCTTTTCATAAAATTTAAATAAGGGGGAGAAAATAAAGCTCAAATAATGAAAAATAATTTTAAAAATTGATTAAGAACAAGAGAAGAGAATACACAATAGAATAGGGGGGAAATAGGTATTTTGTACACATTTTGGTATCAATCCTTTTTAAACAGCTTTGACGTAAGCCTTGATCTCACCTTTTAAGTTCATCATTTACTTGTAGAGAACATTCCTATAGTGTACATGACAGGGAGAATACTGAGGGTTGATTGGTATGGTAATATGTAGAGTTTTTAATTCAGGGAGCACAGTAGACCACTTTCAAGAGAATGAGTTTAGTCAAGAATAACTCCTATAGCATAAACATTAGCGGTCAAAAATAATGTGTTCTCTCTCTCTCTCTCTCTCTCTCTCCAACTTTGAGTGTTTAGAAGCAAGAGAATAGTAGCTTTATAAGACAAATGGGGAATAAAAATTCTGATCCAAAATATGCTTTTAAGTGAAAACTATGAAAACTTTCGAGGGGAGAGCAAAAAAACCTCAAGGCCAAAGATCTCTTTAAACATGGAAACAAGATTTTAAAAAAGCTATAACAAAATCTGTGCACAAGGAGACAAGATGAGAACCAGTTATATCTAAGCAGCTCTCTTTCTTTATCACTGAACATAAAGCAAATGTCTCAACAGAAGACAATGCAGAAGATGAGTCATGGGAAAACAACTTTTACAAACCATATATTTAGTAGTTTAAATAGTGGGTGAAGCCATTTCAATCTTCAGGCCTTATCTAGCACTCGCATGTGATAGACAAGTTCCTCTGTTTCATTTCATTTACAAAGGGTTCCTCTATCTTGAGCACAAGCCCAGTGACAGTGTCACATAGATGAGGTAGCTGCAGATAGATGGCTTAGGTGGAGTATGACTGCTGACGTCGCTAAGACACTGTCTTGTGGATCTGCAACTATGACACTGAGGACATTGCCAAGGGTGGAAGAAATTATTTCCCCTTTTCTTTTTGGCTTCTATGACCAGCATGGATCCCATCCAAATCAAATCCATTCCAAGCAGCTTAGAAAGGATGGGAATTATAGGGCAATCTTTCTGGCCTTGTCAAAAAATGAGAAACTGATCAAGATGAAAGAGGAAAGCCTTGTAGATCTCAGGTGGAAGTTTCCATAAACTGTTATGGAAAAAGATGTTGGTTTTTTTGAACGTCAACTCTAGTGGCCAAGCTAGCTGAAGAATTCTGGGAGCTGTTGTCTCCCCAAAGCAACTTTTCCACATTTTGCTCTTTCTTCAACACCTCGCTGCCGCCTTCCACAACCAGACACTGTGGCAACTGCTGCATTCTGCTGAATGGTAGAGTCTAACCCTGGGCCACATTCTGGCTTTCACTGTTATTTCCTGGCAAGCATTTTTAGGACAACCATCCTAAATCAGCTTTTAGCTTTAGGAAGCCAACAAATGGGATCTACAATACAGCTCTATAGTTTATCCCTTCTCCTCAAAAATATGTACATTTGTTTAGGATTCCAAGCAGTCAGGAAGAGGAATCTTCTTTTATGGGATGAGTTTTAGGATTGGGGAAAATGAGAAAATATACAGATTTTCTTCTCTTCTCAGCATTCCCAGTCTTTTCTTGCTGTGCTATGAATATGTAAGGCCAGAGATCTGCCAGCAGGGTGCAGTTCTGGAGAGCTTGAAGGGGGAAGTGTGTATTTCTCCTCTTTCGTTCCTCTTGAAACATATCTTTATTGTGCTAGTAATAGGTTTGGGAAGGTTTTTTTGGTTAAAAAAACAACAAAAACCCTGATCTTGTTGTACATGTCATCCAATTCAATCCTTCCCCCTTTGTATTACATAAAGTAAAATTTCAGGGAATCAAGGGGACCAATTCTGTCTCTTCTTTGGGTTGCCATTTTTCATCCTCCTTTCAAAAGGCACCTTTATAATTCATGTCTCAACCTTCTCCTGCTCCAGTTGTTCTAAGCCACATTGTTATTCTCATTCAACCTGTTTCCTCTATAATCCAGGCCATTCATGTCTACTCTAAAAAATCCCACGGTGTTTCACAGGTCTTATTCAAAAGTGTGCGTGCATTCAATAAATCAATAATAAGTGCAGTCACAATCCAGTTGTAAACCAGACCATCCATACAGAGCTAATGATTGTCCTGATTTACAACTGGACTGTTTTTATTATTACTCTTACTACTGATTTATTGAGTTTGTGATTTTACATTTTGTGCCCTGGTTTGGGAAAGTTTAACAGGGACATGGTGGCGCTGCGGGCTAAACCGCAGAAGCCTGTGCTGCAGGGTCAGAAGACCAAGCAGTCGTAAGATCGAATCCACGCAACAGAGTGAGTGCCCGTCGCTTGTCCCAGCTCCCGCCAACCTAGCGGTTCGAAAGCATGCAAATGCAAATAGATAAATAGGGACCACCTCGGTGGGAAGGTAACAGCGTTCCGTGTCTAAGTCGCACTGGCCATGTGACCACGGAAGATTGTCTTCGGACAAAAACGCTGGCTCTAGGGCTTGAAAACTGGGATGAGCACCGCCCCCTAGAGTCGAACACGACTGGACAAAAATTGTCAAGGGGAACCTTTACCTTTACCTTTTTTTGGGAAAGTTTACCAGAAAAAGATAGAAGACAAATTATATTATATTCATAATTTCCCTGGATGCCTCAAAGGAAGTGCAGGATATAAATCAAATTGATAACAATTGTTTTAAATAATAAGAAACATGGTGGTAGGAATGAGAGAAGAAGTTTTGAAACTGGTTTTTACAAGCATGTTAATGAATTACATAAATACGTAGATGATTATATCAGGGGCACATTCTTGTATGTGCCACCCTAACTGAAACCTATCTGGAAACAATATTAGTTCACCTCTATTTCAGGATGACAAAAGATCATTGAAGCCAGATGCTCAAAGGTTAATTTTATATAGTACTGTCATCTTGCTTGGTGTAGTCAGGATGTTCTGGCACAATGCAGAATGATTGTCCAAAATCCTGCTGCTTAGTTATGCCAGAGAAAAGGATGTGGCATAACTCATGGTGGCAAATTGCTGCTAATTAACAAGTTCCTGCTGGGATTTCTGATTGTGCACCAAGCCTTCAACTAGCTTGCAATGTGGAATCCAAGCAGATTACCCCATTTCCCTTTTGCCAGCCTAATGACAGTAGGATTTTGGTCACTGTGGCTGTTTCACCCCAGGTGTTAGAAAGGCAGTGGAAAATCAACAGCTTAGGAAGTGGGTATGCTAGTTCTCCATTATCATTCATTGCATAGAGTGACATTCTGATGAGAAGATGCTCTGCTGTGCACAGAGGCTGTCCATGTGACTGGGAATCTGTCATCAACATCATGTTTCCTGAGAAGATTTAGACTCTTGTGATGTCATAGAGGAATGCCCTTATGATGTCATGGAGGAGACATATCAACATCAATAGCAAAATGGTGTGTGACAGAGAGAACATCTAGAGCTTAAAGAACAATGAATCAGTGTTACCAATGGTCTGCCTCCTAAAGTCTATTTAGGAAATATTTACAGACTGGAGGCTACTGGCATATTTCTACCCGGCCTGCAGTGTATCAGCATGGACTTGCACACTAGTTCAGGTTGCCAGGTCAGTGACATCCCATTCCTTGAGATTTCTGGGCTAAAACAAGAGACCCTGAGAATGAACTGCAAAAACAAGAGTCTCCGGTCCAAAACCGGACACCTGGAAACTCTAATTGTAGACCAGAAACATCTGGAGTATCATAGCTATCCAGGCCCACTGTAACAATTAAACCAAATATTATATGAAAACTATGTTAGGAAAAGTATAATGGTCCATTCCATTACTACAAATCTGGAATGGAATGGAAGGTTTATTTTTCACTGTATTCCTAATGCCTATATTGGCCTCAGTACCACTTCCTGTAAACAACCAATATTTTATAGAGATCCTGTATGGATAGAGCCAGGCTGTTTCTAAGGAGCCTATTCATATTCCATTTCAGGACTCTGTATGTGCAGAGAACAACCTTAAGGTTGTGCGCCATCCAATAATCTGTCCCCTTCTAAGATGATGAACTAAACAAATGAGAGACTGATCTCCATTGGCTTTTTAAGATTTACTAAAAGAATATCCCTACAGAATTTTGTCTTGGTTGGAAATATCCCAGCTCCTGATTTATAAGCTTGCCCTTGAATTGCCCATAACTGGTTGTCTCCAATTTCTTACCAGTTAGCTGTTATAGTGTGGCTGGATGGAAGGAAACTGGGAGATGGGAAGGAATGCTATCCAAATAACTTAAGCACAAAGGCCCCTTTGTGGATGTCTGTGCGTATTTGAGATATATTACACTGAGAAACAGACATTAATAAATTAAAGTAAACTGGAAAGCAGTGAAAATCTTACCTGATGTTATACAATCGGAAGACTTACAAACGCCATCTAAAAGTGTGGGGGAAGAAAAAGAGAGTGAGTGAACGAGAGAAAGAGAGAACAAAAAGAAAGGAATTGTGTAACATATTTATATTGTTAATTATTTTTTAGATAATTAGATTTCTATCTTCGTGCTTAAAAATCTCAGCCTCACTGACACTAAAGGTAACAATTGTGCATAAAATGGAGACAGTGGTAAAGAAAATTAATCATCCAATGAAGCTCAATTGTAGGAAATGTTCAAGACACAGAGAAGGAAGTGTTTGACTAAACAGTATCTAGTCAAACTGTGAATTTTGCTACCCTAAGCAGCACTGGTGGCTTCTAACCTTCAGTGGCTTTAAAACAAGATGAGGCAAATTCATGGAGGATACTGTAAGGTTAGCAACAGATACTAGTCATGGTTTCTTGCTATTACCTCCATCGTAAGAGGCTATATGCCTCTGTATACCAGTTAATGGGGAAAGGAATGGAAGGCAATTATGCAGCTTAAACCTCATCAGAGGTTACTATTGGAAACATTACTTGTCTGGACTCTAGCTTCCAGAACCCCCAGCTGGCATATTCCATAATTGTCTCATGGCTGCCCCACAAAGGTCTTAGTGCAGGGATTAGCAATATGCAGTAGCCCTCCAGGGCCCAAATGTATACTCTTAGAATCCCTAGGGTTTACATTTGCCACACACATACCCAAAAATTCAAAAATGTTTTTGAGTGGCTCAAAAACAGTCCTTTTGTGTGCTTGGAAGAGCATATCCTTTTTATATTTACACTGGCTATTAAGGTACTCAAAGGGCTGTTCATAGTAGCCCCATATCCATTCTTGTAAGCAATGTTTTGGGATGTGATGGTTCTAAGAGTGTTCCTGTAAGGTTCAGGGACAGCATGTGCAGTCCCAGATCTCTGGAAGTTTCCCAATGCTGCCTTGGGGGGGGGGACTCATTTCCTTGAAACTGATTCACCCCAGAGGTAAAGCCAGTCAGTGGCAGTAAGGCAGAAACCTATGAGCTATGCCTGCCATAAGATACTATGACTATTATCTCCCATAGATTGGGCCACATATTATTTTCATAACTAGGAACACGAACAAAGAACTGGATTTCTTGCTGCCAATATGAGTAGGCGAAGTCCAGCTAGAGCTGAAGAATTCTATCCCAAGATAAAGAGTAGTGGCTGAGCATAGATATGCAGTTCAGATCAGGGAATAAACTGGGTTTGGTGAGGAAACCATTCCAGAAAAGCAGAAGAAAATCCTTCTATAATTTTCTATTGACAGTTGGGATCAAGGTTCACTTGGTGTTTGGGGAATTTTAACTGGAGATCTTGTGTGTAGCAGAAGACATGATCCCAGATATGGTTTATCACGTATTTTAAAATAAGGAGAAACTCAGTGGGAAATGCTTATTATTTTGTTGTGTGTAGACATTCCATGCCTGTGGTTGTGGTTGTGGTTGTGTGTGTGTGTGTGTGTGTGTGTGTGTGTGTGTGTGTGTGTGTGTGTGTGTGCTCTTGGAAATGTTTCTTAATTGTTTCTGATTTGTTTACTCATTTGGGAGATTTGTTCCAAAAATACAGAAGTGGGTCAAGGATGTTTAGAAAAAGTAGGAAAATGTCTTTTGGCAAGAGTCTGTAGCTGTTAAGATTTTGTGGGTGGCTGTTTTGGGATCACAAAGGGAAACGTTTGATTGCTACTCTGTAGCAGCAGAAGGAGTTTATGGGAAAAGGGATCTGAAAATGTTTTAGGTGAACATCTCCTAGCAACTTCCTTCCCCTTAACTATGTCAGTGTAATTCATACTATTAGGAATTTACAAAAGTAAGGGAAATTATAGATTTTTATGATGGCAGAGCCATCTAATGTCTGTCAGCACTTAGGCAGGTAGAAGGAAATGTGAAAGAATTCTGATGCTAATGTAATTTTGCCTTATTTCTTAGGAAATAAGAAGTGAATAGACATTGGAGAAAGAAATTTGTGTGTATAGTTGTGAGATAGGAAGGGGAAATGACCAGATGACAGTGTTTTGATTTTTTTTTTTACTAATTATGCAAGTCTTACTATCATTTTAACCTGTTAATTTAAGAGACAATTTTCTTTCAGAGGAGAAACTGTTGCTCTTTAAAAGCAAGGGGAAGATAGAGTGGAAAGCAAATTTTTGGGGGGAGGGGGGAGCTGTTAGCCTGGGGAATTTCGGACAAGGAAGGGTTAAAGGAAGAGAGAATGACTGCAGATTTTCCTTAATAGTCAATAGTAATGTTGCCAGACATATCTAGTGTAAAGGGGAACTGTAAAAAAAAGTGGCCACAAAGAGCAGAGGGATAATTGGAGAAGATAATTATTTCCCTTCTTCAGCAGGGGAGAGGGAAGGGGGATTAGGTGTCAATGAAAAACAGCAAAAGCATGTAAAAAATCACTGAGGGAGATAGTAAGGAGTGAGAGGCAAAGAGGAAAGCAACCTCTGGAATGTACCATTCAGAGCACAGATGGCTCTTCCTAAAGTTTTGATGAGGGACAGTCCAGTTTGCTTTTGTAGGTACCCAGCTCAATTTATGTTCAACCTGCTCCGTTCCTGAATGAATACATTAAAGTATTACAGTATCTCATAAGGAGGGTACCAAAACGCAGATAAGGGCTGCATCCTCGAAAATGGAACATTGTTAGAAGTCAGTAAAATTCTCTGGCTTGTTTGTTTTCAAGTTTTTACCGGATCATGGAAACCTAATCATCTAATTTTAGAGAAGCCATTCCCAAACAGAACTCTTATCAATCAGCAAGCAGAGAAACCTGGCATGGCTTTTTCTATTGAATTAAAGTTTGACTACGGCAAAAGAGACATACATTGATTTTGTGATTAATATTTCAACTATGATCCAACTGAGAAGTTCAACGTCTGGAGAAGTTACTTTAGAGACATACATTGATTTTGTGATTAATATTTCAACTATGATCCAACTGAGAAGTTCAACGTCTGGAGAAGTTACTTTAGAGACATACATTGATTTTGTGACTAATATTTCAACAATGATCCAACTGAGAAGTTCAACGTCTGGAGAAGTTACTTTAGACTACAGTTCCCAGAATGCCCCCAAGCAGCATTGAAAAAAAAAAAGCCATGTTGGTATCTAAAAAGTAACTTTTTCCCCCCAAGTCCTGTTTCAAATTCTAAAAGATTTTCCCACACTATTGTAATGAACTCCCATTCTCCGGGATTATATTTCATGCAATCCTGTTTTTCCCCTTCCCTTGGCGATCGAGTTTCTAAAATAACTTTTGGGATGCTAAAAATTGGAAAAGATCAACGGTACCGAAGCAAGAAGATCTTATTGAAAAGATACGGGAAATAGCCGAAATGGACATTTTATCAGAAGTTATGAAGGACTATCCCTTGCAAAAGGCAACAGAAAGATGGGATCTATTTAACAAGTGGACAGAATCAACAGGCAGCTTGTGAACAGTACATATTGAAAGGAGAACTGAATCTAGAAGGCAGAAAAGAGTAAATAGAATAATTTAAAATCTTGATATGGCAATAGGTACAGAATGGATGAAAGTATGTTATTGTCTCCCCTCTTCCTCATCAATCCCAATTCCCTTTTCCTTTCTGTTATCCCTTATAAAAAATAAAAATTACAAAAAAAAAAAACTTTTGAGATCAAAATGGGAGTTTTCAATCTCCAGCTTACCATCGTAGGTTGCGTATAGAGTGATCATGGTGATGGCCACAATGGCAAGTAGAATGACGACAACAGTTAGCCCGATTTCCAGCACACTCCATCGCAGTTTTTTCTTTTGTTTTGGAGAGTTCATCTCAGTTATATCCATCTGACTTTCTGACTTGCCCATAACCTAGAATCTGGAAAGAATAAGAAACAAAGCGCAGCTGTTGAAATTCTAAAAGAATGGAAATTCTTAAGTTCCTCCTACCTAGCTAGTTCCCTCACCCCCCAGAATGAGGAAGAGGAAATATTGGTGGTTTTGATGTTATTTTTTTTTTTAAATGCATAAAACTGTTGGTCGTGATATTTAAATCCACATACTATTTTGTCACTTACACTCTGCAGCACAGTGTTGTTCTTTAGGCCCAGTGCAGCTGAAAAAGGAAGGAAAACATACCAACAACTTGCTTTTATTGCTAACATATCTATTTTAATAGCACTCCTGTGGTACAAGGGTTTGCGAGCAAGTGAAATGTGGTCCAAACTGTTTGAATAAAAATTAACTTAACCTTTCAGTCTTTGATCCTTTTCCAACGGTCAAAAGTTTTATTATTATTATGTTTTATTTCTGCCTGTTTGGCATTTTTCACACCACTCCAGCAACTAATGATTAGAGCCTTCAGTTTAAGATTACAGTAGTACGTATGTAAGATAGCTGAAATCTCCAATAAATCCCCAAAAAGCTAATTTTGCTGATTACTGGGCTAAGAGTTACAAACCAAGCTACTGTTAGAAATTGATGAAGACAATAGATTATTAACCTACACGGATCATCGATCTGACTCTGGGTAGGAGGGGGTGAAATGCTGCTACTCATACAGTATTTTACTAACTGCAAAGCTGCTCAGAAGTGTATCAATTACTCTATAATGGAACAGCTTAAAACCCCTGTGAAAACATTATAGATATATAAAAAAGGGAGACCTCACCTCAACAAACACTATGTCAAAAACATTGAAATTAGCTTTATTTAGTTTGTATGTTAATTTTGTTGAAGCAATAATGCTGGGAAAGTTTGAAGGCAGAGGGAAAAGAGGAAGACCAAATATGAGATGGATTGATTCCCTTAAGGAAGCCACAGGCTTGAGTTTGCAAGAGCTTGGCAGTATATAAAAAAGGGAGACCTCACCTCAACAAACACTATGTCAAAAACATTGAAATTAGCTTTATTTAGTTTGTATGTTAATTTTGTTGAAGCAATAATGCTGGGAAAGTTTGAAGGCAGAGGGAAAAGAGGAAGACCAAATATGAGATGGATTGATTCCCTTAAGGAAGCCACAGGCTTGACTTTGCAAGAGCTTGGCATGGCTGTTTGGAGATTGCTCATTCATGGGGTTGTCGTAAATCAAGGGCAACTTGACAGCACATAAAAACGACAATTAACTATAGGAGATTGCTCATTCATGGGGTTGTCGTAAGTCAAGGGCAACTTGACAGCACATAAAAACAACAATTAACTATGTTTTTCTTGAGAAAGAATAGCCCCTCTCCACCACTCCTCTCTGTATAGCTGTGCATTTTATTTCTCTCCGAGTTTTACTTTTAAGAAATGAAGCTGCAGTCTTCAGTGGACAGTGGGTTACAAGGAAAGTGTGGAAGATATGAGACAGATGAATCCTTTCACCTCTATTAACAATCTTGTATTTTCCCCAATCAACGTATATGGGTGAGAAAGCTAGACAGCTAAGAAAGCTGACAGGAAAAAAAAAGATTTGTTTGAAATGTGGCGCTGGAGGAGTGCTTTGTGGATGATTTGTTTGAAATGTGGTGCTGGAGGAGTGCTTTGTGGACACAGTACCTTGAACTGCCAAAACAAACTCCACAAAACAGACAAGTGGCTCCTAGAACAAATAAAATCTGAACTTTCTCTGGAGGCAAAAATGTTGAAACTGAGACTGTCCTACCTCTGATACATCATGAGAAGACAGTAGAAGACAATAATGTTGGGAAAAATAGAAGGCAGCAGGAAAAGAGGAAGAACAAATATGAGATGGATTAACTCCTTGAGGAAGAACAAATATGAAATGGATTAACTCCTTAAAAGAAACCATGGGCTCGAGTCTACAAAAGCTGAGCAGGGTGGCTGAGGGCAGGACATTTTGGAGCACTTGTTCATGGAGTTGCCATGAGTTGGAGCTGAATTGATGGCACAGAATAACATTTTAAACAAAGTGTGGGATATTGATTATAATATTGGACTGGGACTTGGGCACTCTAGGTTGTAGTGCCACTGAGGCATGAAATTGACTGAGTAACTTTGGGCCTATCACTCTCTCAGCTCAATCTACTTCAGGTGGAAATCCATGTTGGACAGCTACCCAACCTTGGAAGAACAGAAAAAGCAAATATTCCAGCTTGTGCTCATCTCAGGGCTTGTCTAGACGGCTCAATTAGACTGGGCTGAATTGATCTAAATAGGGTCAGTTAAGGTTGTGTAGAGGTTGGCAGTGCCATTAAGTATAATCTTTGCATCCACATGGCATATACAACTCAAACATCTCTATTTGCTTCCTTGCTCTGTCCCTCCACGGAGGAAGCTTTTCATTTGCCAATATCGTGAGGTGGCTAAGCTGTCTTCATCCACATGGCATATACAACTCAAACATCCCTATTTGCTTCCTTGCTCTGTCCCTCCATGGAGAAGCAGAGGAAGCTTTTCATTCGTCAATATCGTGACGTGGCTAAGCTGTCTCCTCAATCCACTTAATGATATTGGGAAATTGAAAGCCTCAAGCTCTGCTTTGCTTCAGTCTCAGCAATGGCATGTGCTGGAAATAAACTAAAACAGAGCTATTCTACATGCACCTGAAAAGCAGTTGCTCCTGACAGGGACCCAGAAAGGTATGGGTAAGAATGCTCTGGAGTTGGGAAGGTTCATGCCAGTATTTGCATCCCCACAGTGAACAAACAGCAAGACAAATGCCTCTGCAGTCACTCTGCACTTAGTTGGATATTCATTATCCTGTAATGAAAAGGCTGACGTCTTTTGTCTGGTGAACTAATTAGTGAGTGAAAAAGATAGTGGTGGAAACAAATTTTTTTTAAAAAAATCTCTGGACATCCTCTGACTGAGCACTGACCATGGGAGCCCGTGAGCTGTAGTATCAAAAAGTAACTTTCCCCTCCTCTGTGGTGAAGAACAGGTTTGTTGTGTTTTTGCTCCATTATAATATAGCATTGGAGGGACGTGGTGGTGCTGCGGGCTAAACCGCAGAAGCCTGTGCTGCAGGGTCAGAAGACCAGCAGTCATAAGATCGAATCCACACAACGGAGTGAGCTCCCGTTGCTTTGTCCCAGCTCCCGCCAACCTAGTAGTTCGAAAGCATGCAAATGCAAGTAGATAAATAGGGACCACCTCGATGGGAAGGTAACAGTGTTCCGTGTCTAAGTTGCACTGGCCATTTGACCACGGAAGATCGTCTTCGGACAAAATGCTGGCTCTATGGCTTGGAAACGGGGATGAGCACCACCCCCTAGAATCGAACACGACTGGACAAAAACTGTCAAGGGGAACCTTTACCTTTTAATATAGCATTGACAGTGTTGGATTCAGACTTGCAAGATCCAGATTCAAATTCCCAATGAACCACGAAGTTCACTGTGAGATTTTAGGGCAGCCACTCTCTCATGAGCTCATCCTACCTCACAGAATTGTTGTGAGGATAAGCTCATGAGACAAGAGGTGAGAGGGAAGTATAACTGTCAAAATAAAATCACTCTCCTCCTGCAACATTGGGGGACATCCATTTTTTCCTCTCTCAGAGAAAGAGTCGCTCAGGGGGTGATGAACACATGGACTCTGGGCAGAACACATTCTTCTTCAAAAGGTCCCCTCTGGGTAATCCTCTACTCAAGATGATCATCTGCAGATCTGGTAACAATATAGGAAAGTGATGTGGAGTATTGTGTTCACTTCTGGGCATCTCTGTTAAGAGGAACAACAAAGGTAAAGATGTGAATAGGCCCTTCTTTTGCATGGCAATAGATCTTTAAAGGCAGTAGATCTCTTGCTCCAAAAGGGTGGGACTAGAAGGATGGTTTTGCTCCAGACTTCTGCACCAGAGCCAAGATAAAAAATGCAGAGGACAAGATGAGTTGTCAATGCTGTGTAGTTTGCATACTAGAAGATGAAAGGTGGGTCCTCCTTGCCTTACCTCTGTCTTTTTTTGGAACTCTGGCCCACACTTCTGCATTTAATATGGGCTTAGCTGGTCACTCCTATGTCAAGGATGAGCCCCCCCTTCCTTTCACTGTATAGCATGGATTTTTGTTTGGGTTTTTGCCTACTTCGCACTGAATTAGGTGGAATGAATAGGTTGTGCTTTCCTGTTTAACAATTGGAGTCAATTTTAGTTATACTTGGTTAGTCTGCAACTCAGTTTGTATTTCATTGGTAAATTTGGGCATTTGGGTTAACCATATGATGTTTTTAACTTTGGGTTGAGGTTAATTCGGACACATTTGGCCTCCATTGGCAAGTCTGGACTGGCATTCTGTCAAGAGAGAGGGTTGGTAAGCAGCCATAGGCAACTTTATGGGGAATGGCGGTTTCTGAGTCTTGCAGTTTACAGCCCTGAGACCCAGGGGCAGGAGATAACCTATCTTTATCATCTACTCAGAGCTGTGAGACAATGGGTAGGAGTGAGAGAAAGGGCCCCCATACACATTGGTGATGGCCAGACATAAGGTTATAATGGAACCTGATCAGGAGGGCTACGAGATTTTATGCAGGCCAACATTCCAAAGTTAGATGCTAGACTCCTGCATATTCTTCCCCCCACAGTCCTATTTAAATAACTGTGGTCCTAATTAAAATAGATTTTATTGGCTCCTCCATCTGTAACGGGGCTGAATAGCTGGCTGGACAGCTCATTGGTTTAGGATGCAGAGCCGGAGGTTGGGAGTTCCATACTCCCCTGTGCCTCCTTCAAGTGGAGCCAGCCTGTGCAACCTCAGGCAAGCTGCGTAGTCCCAGGGCACCCCCAAGAAAAAGGGAATAGGAAACCACTTCTGAGTATTCTCTACCTGGAAAACCATGGAAAGGGTTGCTGTAAATCAGAACTGACTTGATGGCACCTGATCTCTTGCTCCAAAAGGGTGGGACTTTTTGGACAGAGAATAATCATGTGCCCCAACC